CAGAAATAAAGTGAATGTGAGGGCACAGGCCACCCTGCCTCTGTTCCTCTTCCCTGCGCCTGGAGCCTGAGAAGAGAATGCATAGCTGCTCTGTGACATCCCGCCTCATTCCCCCAGCCAGCATCTATGTTGGTATTTTTAACAAGGCATAAAACTTGCAATTCTATTAAAAACACATGTCTCTTGTTTCAAAGCATGGTTTAGCGGCAGCCGCTGATATTCAGTAAACACACCATCCACCAGAGGAACATGCTCATTGAACTCAAAGTCTCAAACTCTGAGTCTTATAATTTTACAAAGAAACACAGGGTCTTCTGGCTGGAATGAGGTTTGAGATAATCTTCTTGGGCTTTCTCCAGAAGACTGTCCAATCTGCTTGAAAACAGCAGTTCTCAAAGCAAAGAGAGAAGTTGAGTAGGGCGGAATTTGAAGAGTAGGAGAAGGGCAGAAAAGAGATGGCTATGGACTAGAGTGAAAAAGTGGGATCAGAGAGTTGGGAGGCTAGGCCAGCTCCTAGATTTATTGTCAGCCGACACATGTCAATGAAAAGCCCCAATTCAAGCAAGGGTTTTTGGTAGCCCCTGCATGGACTGAATGTTTGTGCCCCCTCAAAATTCACACGTTGAAGCCCTACCCTTCAGTGTGGTAGTATTTGGAGGTAGGGCCTTTGGGAGGTTATGAAGGTTAGATTAGGCCATGAGGGAAGGGCACTCATGACAGAAGTAATGCCCTTATAAAAAGAGGTAGAGATACAGGGTACCTCTCTCTCCCCTCATGCACAAGGAAAGCCATGTGAGGACATAAGGAGAAGACGGCTGTCTGCAACCCAGGAAGAGGGCCCTCACTAGGCACCAAATCTGTAGGCACCTTGATCTTAGACTGCCCAGCCTCAGGAACTGTGAATGCTGTGTAAGCCACCCAGTGTATGGTGTGTGTGTGTGTGTGTGTGTGTGTGTGTTTAAGGCAGCCTGAGCTTACTAAGTAAGACAGACACCTTTAATATAAGGGAAGATTTGAGCCCGGCCAGTGTAGCTTAGTGGTTAAGCATCAACGTCTGATGGATCAGTTCCCAGTCAGGGCACATGCCAGGGTTGCGGCTCAATCCCCAGTAAGGGGTTTGCAGGAGGCAGGCAATCAATGATTCTTTCTCATCATTGATGTTTCTATTTCTCTCTCCATCTCCCTCTCAATATAAAAATCAATATAAAAATAAATTAATATGAATTGATTTTATATTGATTCAAAAAATGAATCAATATAAAAATAAAATGAATAAAATGAGGGAATATTTGAATCTGCTGCACGCTAAGGTTCATTCATTTGTCTTGGGTCTTGCCATTAGACAAACTTGATTTCCAATCTGTTTCCCCACTTAACAGCGTAACTTGTCTAAGACTTAATTTTCCCATCTGCACAATAGGGGTACCAGAGATGCCTCCTTCATGGGATAAAATTAATAAAACCAAAAAAAGACCACTAAGCGAGGGCTTGGCATACAGTAGTACTCCATAACGCCTCCCCTCCTGCTACGCCCAGTAATGCTATGATCAAGTTCATGAGAAAGTCAATGTGAAAAACATGTAAGCCCAGGCTAGGGTGGGGAGAGACAGAAAACCAGCAAGCAAGTCACTGAAATGGACCGCGTGTCTGAGCTGGAGTTGCTGTAGGAACCCACGTGGCTGCTTGGAAGGCAGCTCCGTACTCGCAGATCACCAGGCACTTAATCGCTTCCCCAAATCCTGATGCCAGAGAGGGTGGGAGAAAAGGGAGGGAACCTCCCGATCAGATATTTTAGACTCCAGCAGAGGAGACAGAACGCTTTATTTATCTGGGCTCCCCAGCTTGCTAATTAACTTAGGACTGGAAACTATTCTCATGTGTCAGCGCCCGCACATCTTCCCGTTATTAGAAAAACATCTGCTCATTATCCCCGTGGTTTCCAAACGTGAGAGAGGGCCAGAGCTGCGTTCCCAGATGCAAATGTGTGACATCAAAGCTGCCTCGGGTGCTGGTGGTCCGGCGTGGGGAGATTAGAACAGGTAGGGGGTTTTCTAAAGAAAGCGGGAAGAAGGCTTTCATCTTCAGAAAAGACTGTGAGCAGAAGATATCTGTATTTACCAGAGGCTGCCATTTAATTGGTGAAGAGGAAGCCCTTGTCTTCAACTCTGCCCCCTTTCCGTGTCTACCCCGGGCTGAGCACACAGTAGATCCTAGATATTTCGAGGATCTACTGTGTGCTCAGCACTGGGTCTGCACAGTTCACCCAGGAGCCGGGGATGCGGGGCTCAGACGGCAGGTGGCTCTGGCATAAGCAGCACATCAGTCTCAGAGGCAGCCTGTGTGTGACCTGGCTCCTGTGTCCAGGTCCAGAGGGACTGGGAGCCTGTGGCCCTGTCGCCCCCCTGGAGGATGGGAGCCCAACCGGGAGAGAGCATGTCTCGCTCCTAACACTGTAGGAAGATCCCCTCCCTTTTCCTCACCCAAGGTGACCAACCATCTATAGGTTTCCCAAGTGTCTGGAGTGTCTCCTGGGATGTGGGGTTCCTGGTGCTGGGATGTGGGGCTCCGATTGCGGGGATGCAGGACAATGCTGGCACACTAGAATGAGGTGATCATCGTGCTCTCATCTTCCCCCCACTTTCCCTTCTCCCCCGCTTGGTTGGGCAATGGGTTCACCCTTCCTTTCTGGGAGACTGATATGTAGCAGCATAAAAATTGTTTTTGGTGGTGGGGAGGGATTCTGTTTCCTTATGTGTAAAATGAAAAGAAAATCCCCCTTCTCAGGGATGTAGGGGGTTATGAGGGCTTTGCAGGGAATACTGCTACCCTGGCTTAGATGAAGGGCATAGAGGAATGAGGACAGGGTTTTCCAAAAGCCAGGACTGACAGCTGGAGACATGGAGGGGGGAAAGGCCTAGGAACACGGGGAGGAAGCAAGGGGAGAGGGATCAAAGCAAGGTCTTCAAATCCAAGATTTCCAACCATTGAAAAGCATCTGTTTAACTCATGGGCTTCTCAGCTCTTCTCCTCCCACTGTGTACCCACCCCTTCCTTCCAAACTTGGCCTCCACCTCTCTCTCTGTTTCCTCCTTCCGAGGTCAGGCATTATCTCTGCTCTTTCCCTCTCCTCGCCCTGAGAGGAGCTCATCACCACCTCTTTGTGTGGACTGGAATCTTCCTCCTGGTCTGCACCTCGTCTCTCCAGTGCAATCCACTCCTCTGACTTGGGCCCAGTCCCTTCCCCCTCCAAGGGGCTCTTGTCTCCTGTCCCTGTCCGACCGGCCTCCACTCAGAAGCCACTGTATGGTCTTCCCAAAGCACAGTGCTGATCCTCAAAAGCCTTCCAAGTTGGGGGGATTACATTCAGACTTGCCCATGCATCACCCCCTTTCTAACCTGACAGCTCTGGGCCCCCTGGCAGCTCTGGGCCTTCCTCCCTCCCTCCTCACCCTCTATTTTAACCACAACAAACCACATGTGATTTCCTGGACACTTTGTGCTGTGTGATGCCTCCATGCCTTCAAATTTCAGCTCAGAAACGGCTACCTCTGGGAAGCATCCCTGACCCCCACCCCTTGTTCTTCCGGGTAGCTTTGTGTTCTGATGTTTTCTCTCTGCCCCCGGCCCTCTCTACCACGGCTGCTACCACAGTACAGGCATTGACTTGTCTGCCTCCCCCAGCAGAATATAAGCCCACCAAAGGCAGGGACCTCACATCACGGTACTTCCCAACCCTCAGGGCAGGTCGGCATGGGGAGCACAATAGGCACTTCTAACATCAGTAAATGGAGAAATGAAAACAGCAAACTCGTGCGCACAACAAGTAGCAAAGCCCAGAGCCAGGGGATGTTCCTGAGCAGGTCTTCCCCACTGAGAGAACAGAAAACACTCTACGCCGAGATAAACCAGCCTTGTGCCATCCCAGCCCTGCACAAACCAGTGGGAGGAAGAAGGGGATAGTGAGCGGCTTGGGCTTTGGACGCAGAGGCCCCAGGGCTGTTGTCTTTGCAGGTGGTCTTTGTGTTACCCTGGGCCACCTGCTTAACCTCCTGAGCCTTGGGTTCCTCCTTTATCCCACAGGGATCAAAATAACATTGCCCGTGGTTTTGTGAGGGGTAAATGCAATTAGGCATGTAACACGGTCAGCACTCGGCAGACACGAGGGCTGACCCGGCCCCCTTTTTTTCAGTGTGACCAAAACAGAGTCTGAGCCTGATAAAATCTGTTCCCAACACACACAGACAGCTCCTGCTGGGGAGGCACAATCCAAGAAACAGGGAAGGAGGCAAAGGCTTGCTTCCGGACTGTAAACCTGAAGGTGCTGGGCATGGTCCAGAGCAACCTGACAAGGGTCAAAGGTCTTCAAGCTCCTTGACTTGGAACACAGGCAGCTCATAGGGCTCCATGTCAACGTCTCCTTCCCCTGCCCCATTGGGTTGGTGCCAGAAGGACAGATTAATAGGGGTGTCGAACTCAATCAGAGAAGGGGCCAAAATCTAAAATCCAGCCTAAATTGCGGGCCGAATGGTTTACTGAACAGTCATAAACTGTCATTGTGATGGAAACGCAGCGGAGTGCAGTGATGACAGCGCGGTGCGGGCCACATTGCAAGGCCTGGCGGGACGGATTTGGCCCGCGGGCCTTGTGTTTGACACATGTGGATTAGAAAGTAAGCCCAGCTGGAATGGCTCAGTGGTTGAGTGTTGACCTATGAATCAGGAGGTCACGGTTTGATTCCCGGTCAGGGCACATGCCCGGGTTGTGGGCTTGATCCTTAGTTGGGGGCCTGCAGGAGGCAGCTGATCAATAATTCTCTCATCATTGATGTTTTTATCTCTCTCTCCCTCTCCCTTCTTCTCTGAAATAAAATATATATATTTAATTAAAAAAAAAAAAAAAGAAAAGCTCTCCCCAGCCTTCTCCACTTTGAAGATCACCATTTTCTGCAAAGAGAAGCAGAAGAAAGTCTGAAAGAGAACATGAAAAATGGAAACAGTTACCTCCAGGGACAAGACTCCAGGTGATCATTTCATCTTCTCCATATTCTCTTCTATTTTCCAAACTTTCCTCCGTGAATTGCTTCTCTAGCCTGCGAACATTGACAATGCCTGTGTTATACTTAATAAAGGACCCATTCCCTGAGCCGCAGCAGAGTTATGCCCCTGTGAGTACAATCACACTGACACACCCAGTCCTGTTCTGGAATCTCTGTGGCCTGGGTTCAAGGATCCTTCTGACCATCAAGCAGAATCACTCCAGCCGTTGAGAGGTGAGAGGAATGAAGAGCTCCCCCAACACAGGATGTAGGCTCACCCGGGACCCACTATTGTCTCTCTCATCAGTGCTTGTGGGTAAGAAGAGCCCAGAACTGGGGACAGATGATGAGGAAGGGAGAGGCTGAGGCTAAGACACTTCATAGGACAGGTTTCTAAGGGAAATTTACCCCTTGTTCAAAGAAAGCAGTGAGAGAAACGTTGCAACTTGCCAAAGCCCCCAAGTTTAGTCTTTTGGGCTCAGTTAAGATGGTGTGGAAGAACTCTCTTAATAGAATCTTTGTTCATGCACTTGTTCATTCATTCATTCATTCATTCATTCACTCACTCACTCATTCATTCATCAGTCACTCACTGAGCCCCTCTAGGTAGCAGGCATTGTATATACGGGGCAGTATGAACAACTAAGACTATCTTCCCATTATTCCCACTACCGCCACTCAAGAGGAAATCTTAAGGAGCAATATTAGTAGTTGGGCATTTGTGTTGATCAGGGATGTGGAAATGAAAAGAGGGACAAGGAAAGATAAGGTATCTGGCAGGAAAGAAGAACTCTGGAGAAGAGAATGAGACAATATCTAAGTAAGATTTTGAAGATAGTAAGTTTCTCTCTTTTTCCCATGAAATCTTCAGTAAAACGCACTCCCTTCACTAAATGCTTTTGAAGCTGGATTGTGCAGAATTTCAAGACAGGAGGCAGCTAAAATCAAAGGGTGACTAAAGAGGCCAAACAAGACCTTGTTGCATACAAATAGAAAGACACTATCCCTGCCCTCAAAGAGTTCAGGCTCCAGTAAGACATGGGTACCTTAGGTGATGTATGCACAGGGAGTCACCAGGGCCTCCAGCAGTGTTTTAGGGGCTTAAAAAACTCAGTAATCAAGACTAATGAAGTGTTTCATAACATCAAAATTAATGCAAAAAGACAGAGAAAGTCAAATTTTCAAATAAAGACAAGATCTGTGGACAGGACTGGGACAGGTGAAGGTGACTAAGGCTGAGTTGTGTAAGACAGGATCAGATTTTGTCTTTATTTCCAAATGTTGATACATATTTAGTTCAAGGTAGACTTTGTTACATTACATTTCATTATTTTATTTTATTTTAAATATATTTTATTGATTTTTAACAAAGAGAAAGGGAGAGAGATAGAGAGCGAGAAATGTCAATGAGAGAGAAACATCTACCAGGTGCCTCTTGCACACCCTCTACCAGGGATGTGCCCACAACCAAGGTACATGCCTTGACCGGAATCGAACCTGGGACCTTTCAGTCCGCAGACCAACGCTCTACCACTGAGCCAAACCGGCTTCGGCTACATTTCATTATTTTAAACGATTGCACTAAAATCTCATTTCTCTGGGTGACTGCATATGTTAGTGCCCCTTTACTTTGAGCCTAAGGCGAGGGCCTCACTGTCCTCACCTTAGCCCAGCTCAAGGAAGCAACTGGGAAGGAGGGAAACAACTTGGCCTGAGAGACCAGAGAATGCTTCTCTGAGAACCCAGCGCTCAAGGTGCATTCTGTAAAATAAATGGAATTTAATGTATGAAAACAAATAAAATAAATAAAGGCACCCTTGCCTGAGGGCACAGCCTGCAGGGACATGGAAGAGCATGGCATGCTGGCGGGAAGGGCCACCAGCAGCACGTAAGGGAAGTGCCCAGTCTCATTTCATCTCTCAGGTTCGACAGCAGGCTGAGCAGGTGAGTCATTCAGCACTGACGGAATAAGCCCGATGAGTAAACATGAGAAAATGCAAAAGTTATAACCTCTACCCTGTAAGAGCTCATGTCAGCCAAGACATCCTATGTAATTTCTGGCTTTTCAAACAAACGTTGTTTTTGTTTTTGACATTTTAAATGTAACCATCGTTACAAATGCATGATTTAGGAGTTGCCCACATGTTCCCTAAAAACAATATTCAATCTGACAGTTATGTGGTTTCACTTCCGTCTCAAAAAGGCCCTTCCCAGGGGAGGGAAAGGTGAAAATAAACGAATGGGACTACATCAAACTAAAAAGCATCAGCACAGCAAAAGAAACTGACAACGAAACAAAAGGCAGCCAACTAGATGGGAGACGATATTTGTAAACAGTAGCTCCAACAAAGGTTTAATTTTCAAAATATATAAAGAACTCAGAGAACTCAACACCAAACAAACAACCCAATCAAAAAGGGGGCAAAAGAGCTGAAAATACACCTCTCTCAAGAAAACATATGAATAGCCGAAACCGATTTGGCTCAGTGGATGCAGCATCGGGCTGCAGACTGAAAGGTCCCAGGTTCAATTTCGGTCAAGGGCATGTACCTTGGTTGCTGGCACATCCCCAGAGTGCGGGGGGAGGGGTGGTGTGCAGGAGGCTGCTGATCAATGATTCTCTCTCATTGATGTTTCTAACTCTCTATCCCTCTCTCTTCCTCTCTGTAAAAAAATCAATAAAATATATTTTTTTAAAAGAAGAAGAAGACTGCCGAAACCAGTTTGGCTCAGTGGTAGAGCGTCGGTCTGCAGACTGAAAGGTCACAGGTTCGATTCCGGTCAGGGGCATGTATGTTGGTTGCGGGCACATCCCCGGTAGGGGGTGTGCAAGAGGCAGCTGTTCGGTGTTTCTCTCTCATCAACGTTTCTAGCTCTCTAGCTCTCTCCCTTTCTCTCTGTAAAAAATCAATAAAATATATTTTTTTTAAAAAGAAGAAGAAGACATATGATTAGCCAATAGATATATGAAAAGATGTTCAACCTCACTAGCAATTAGGGGAATGCAAATCAAAACTACAATAGTACATTTACTACAATGGCAACTATTACCGTATTTTTCGGACCATAAGACGCTCCGGACCATAAGACGCACCAGTTTTTAGAGAAGGGAAATGAAGAAAAAAAGATTCTGAAACAAATAGTGTCCTAAAATATTTTATGTGCATTAAAACCCAACATCACAGTCATAGACACTGTGATCAACCCTGTAAAGTAAACAGCAGCATTTAGAACCATTTTAGAGCCGGGCAAGCACACAGAGACCACACAGAGCCGGGCAAGTAAAAAAAACTTTTTTTTTAAAGTATATGTGTAGGCTATATTTGGACCATAAGACGCAGGGACTTTTTCCCCCCACTTCTGGGGGGGAAAAAGTGCGTCTTATGGTCCGAAAAATACGGTAATAAGATAGGTAATAACAAATGTTGGAGAGGTTGTGGAGAAAAGGGAGCCCTCATTCACTATTGGTGGGAATGTAAATTGGTGCAACCATTATGGAAAGCAATCTGGCGATTCCTCAAAAAGTTAAGAATAGAGCTACCATACAACCAGCGATTCCTCTTCTGGGGTATATAGCCAAAAAACTAGAAAGCATATGTTCGCAAAGATATATGCACCCCTATGTTCATTGCAGCAGTATTCGTAGTGGCCAATACATGGAAACAACCGAAGTGGCCTGCAATAAAGGCCTGGATAAAAAAGATGTGGTACAGCCTGGCCGGTATGGCTCAGTGGTTGAATTTCGATCCATGAAACAGGAGGTCATGGCTCGATTCCCAGTCAGGGTACATGCAGGATTTCGGGCTCGATCCCTGGTAGGGGGTGTACGAGAGAGGAAGCCGGTCAATGATTCTCTGTCATTGAGGTGTCTATCTCTCTCTCACTCTCTCTGAAATCAGTAATTAAAAAAGAAAAGAAAAAAAAGATGTGCTACATATACCCAATGGAATACTACTCAGCCATAAGAAAAGATGAAATAATGCCATTTGCAACAACATGGATGGACCTTGAGAACATTATGCTCAGTGAAATAAGTCAGTCAGAAAAAGCTAAGAACCATATGATTTCACTCATTTGTGGGATATAAACTGAAACTCGTGAACACAAACAGCAGTGTGGTGGTTGCCAGCGGGAAGGGGGTGGGGCAGAAAAAGGTTCTAATATATGGTGGCAGGAGAAGATTTGACTTTGGGTGGTGGCCACCCGGTGCAACATACAGATCTTGTAACATGGAAACTCGTGCCTGAAACCTAACCTATATGATCATATTTACCAAAGTAACCCCAATCCATTTAATTTTTTTTAAAAAGGGGGCCTTCCCATTTGCTCCTCTAACCGGGACAGCATGTTGCAGTTAGCTTTCCAAGTCTCTCATTTTCCAAAAGGAATCGGAAACTCAGAGCATTTAAGCAACTTCTTCCAAGTTTTCTGACCAGAAGGGCAAAAGTGGGACTAGCATCCAGGTCCCCTAAACCCCTGTCCCTACACTGCTTGTGTAGGATGAATGAGCCAGCAATCTGAGAGCAATTTCTCTCCAGTTCCATCTGAACTTTGCTAGGAAAGCAACTCCTGGCTTCGGAGCTCTCTGCTGGGGGCTGTAAAAGAATGGCCAGGCCCACAGCTTCTTCAGTGCAGGAGACAGAAAGAAAACAAAGCAAACCACCTTCCCCACTCCCCCACCCCCACCCCTACCTCCAACTCCAGATTTAACCCTCCCCCCACCCCCCAGCAACCATTAACTCCACATCAGGCCCCTGTCACTCAAAGCCTCGCAACAGGGATTTCACCTGCACACCAAGGTCCCTGCCAGATCCAAAGGCTGTCTCTTCCCAGCCTGAAGGTAAGAAACAAACAAGCTGTCAAATCTCAGTCAGGCAGGGCCTGGGGAACAGCAGCATTTCCGGCTGCAGGGGTGCCATCCCAGCAGCAGCCTCGGGGGAGGGCCTGGGGGAAACGCTGCCTCCCAGCCTGGACATAGGAGGCATAACCTCAGAAGGTTTGAGGGTCAGCCGGGACTATCTGGATGCAATCACCAGACCCTGCACAGCATCACA